GGCCTCCAACCTAGAAGCAATGGCTTCCAACCGAGTATTGATGGCCTCCAACCTACTAGCGACCGATAGCGGCGGCCCTCCAACCTAAACGATGGCCATCATTTGCGGAGAGGCGTAAGGTTTGAACACTCTTTTGCTCCAGGTTGCTGCGGGCGCTGCGGCTTGGCTCGATGGCGAGAGGCAGCGGCGACGGCCTTAAGCGATCGATGGGAGCATATGAGATGTTTTCAAAATTAGCGGTGTAAAGCTTAGCAAAGGGCACTTCATTTGTGTTTGTTATTTCGCATTTTCCTTAGAAAACGATAGGGGGCTCACAAAAAACGATACCCCTCGAACCATGATATGTTGAACACAGTAACATGCATGCAGTTGCTTACAATACCTGGATTCGGTGTGGGCATGCAGGCAGCGTGCATTTTCCACTGAGCCTTTTGTGCTTCAGGGACCTATTTAGGTGGGGATACGCCATGTCGTGGCGTGTGGAGCAGCGTGAGCGAATTTCGAGTGGTGGCAAGTATTGCTCCTTGTTTCAAAGGACCGACATATACCATGTCAACCGTCCCATCACAATGAAATGGAAAATCACACAAACGAACCTACCAGGCAAAAAGAACATGCAAATGAGTAAGCACCAAGGGGTCTTTATCAAGATCGATGAGGATGGCAAGAAAAAGCAATACTACAGCAAGAAACAGGCATTGATGCATGGCTACACGGAGGACACTGGGCAAAGTTTGCATTGTGAATTTGTGTGTTTGCTTGTGTGTGAGCTGAGCCTACCAAAGCATTTGAGGATGCTACAGCTTCACAACCCAGCGGGGGCATTGTGAGCAATGCACTCAAAGCCACGGATTCCTCCAAGATAGGTCAGTGCGATGCTGGGCAGAACTCTCCTAGCTCTTCCCTTTCAGGCTCCAAAATAAGCTTGCGAAGCAGTCATGTCGATTTGTTGCATTAAAATCCCCTATACTGCTTGCAAGCGTTTAGTTGAGAAGCCGCAGCACGGTTACGGTTATCCCTGAATGCAATTTGGTCGAAGTCGGTTGTCCTAGTTTGATCTCAAGTCCTTCGCCCGTCCAGGTGGCGGCGGCGACCCTTTGATGGACGAGAAGCCCCGCGACATCGCAGCCAGTGAGCCGCCAGTTCTGGATCATTGCGCTCTACGAGCCGACGTTCCCCACCTTCCAGGCGAAATCTTGAAGACATAGGGAGAGGCTTGGAAGGTCACCATCAAGCAAACAGATGTAAGCAAGACAAGTAGAATGGTAAGTGAGCCCACTTAAGATCAGAGATGACTTTTGACTTTTGTCACAAGAGGACCAGCTTTTGGCTTCAATCACACACCCCCGTTTTCTTGTGATATTGCATGGGGCCGGATCTAGACCCGTCTTGCAGGCAGTGCGGCTGGTGGTACCAAGAATGTTGAGAAGCAAAGCTCTCTTGAGAACGCAGGGAAGGTCAGTGAGAGCATTGACGTTCCCAGTCCGGTGCCTGAAGTTGATGCACAGACACCAAGCAAGAAGCGGCCATTGTCTTCTTGTCCTTTGTCGACAGAGAAAGGTTCCATCAGCCCAGGCTCTTTTGCTAAGCTGAAGCAAGCTAGGACCGGAAGCTTCAGGAAAGGGAACCCGCGTGGGTCATGCTTTGCGAAGTCGCAGCTCTGTTCTTTCTGCTCACACCAGAAGCATAGCTGTGGATGGGCCTATCGTTGGAACTTGAAAGCAAGGATTGTTACCGGAAGCCTGTGTGATTCTTGCATCCGGGCTTGTCACAGGCTCGGAACGGGCAAATGCGTCGAGGCTTGCAAAGCAACGCCAGGTGTTTTGGATGCCATCGTGCAAAAATCTAATGAAATTGCTGCGCCTAAACCAGCAGCAGATTTTTGTTGGTGCTCTGAGTGCCAAGACGACAAGAAGGTGAAGATTCCTTTTCGTGGCATCGATCCTCCTTCTCGTCGGTTGACTCAAAAGCCGCTGGTTGCAGACACACGCACACACACTAGATCTGAAAAGCCGATCCTAAATCCTGCTGATAGCATCAATGATTATTGCAGTGCGTCCCATTAGGGACTACGTGGATACTCTTGTGCGTGAATTTTGTGGGACACAGTCTCGCGCAGCTGAATTTGGGTATCCACTGGGCAATACTCCTTGGAGACGGGCCGCGTTGGAGGAAGACGCAAAGACATCGAAGAAACGTGGTAGACCCAACAAGATGAACGACCCGGAGCTCATAGCCATGGTGGAACAGGCTTTAACCCAAGCCTCGCAGCCAAGCAGCCGCCTGTCGTGGGGCCCGCAAGAGGGTGAATGGAAACTAGTACGTCGATGTACACACTAAAAGAAGCAGCGTGAAACAACCGTGTGACACGACCATGTGACCATAGGACTGGTTTCAGTCAAGCATAGTACTCCCTGGCATTACTTTGCAAGTTTCATGGGCGAGGTGAACACGTTGACGCAAGACAAGAAGACTGTCTGGCACCAAGCAGAAGGCCTGAACGCTTCCTTGAGTTTCTCTACGTTTTGGTGCTTGGCCAAGAAGCACCTACGACATTTCAAGGACGCTGATAGCGTCAATGATTATTGCATCTATTGCCACGACCTCAAAAAGCAAGTGCTTCCACAGGAGCCGTGCGCCCAAAAAAACACCCAGCTGGTGCAACTAATTGTGTTAAAATCCTTGGAGAATCTTTCTCTGGCAGCACCCTTCAGGTACGGGACTTGGTTGCCACTGTGCGTTCGGAGCTTACGGCCCTTATGCCGAACTATTTTGGCGATTGGGATGCACATGAGCAGGCCTCTTTGCTTGACAAGCCTGGGCTACATTTGCGGGAGCTGAGGCACTTCCTTGAACATCATTCAGACCGAGGACCTTGTCGGCAACATAGGCATACTGCGTGGCCGTGTGGATTGGCCGTTTGAGAACGAGGCAGAGCGGCTTCCCACAGAAAGACCGTGTAACCCTTTATGCAAAGGAAGCTGTGTGTGCAACTACAGTCCATATCCAAGCTCCTGGACAGCTACCTTTTCCATAGATCGGCCAATGAATTTCAAAAGCCAGCGCTCGCAAATCTCTTGCCTACTGGCATCACACAGCAATAGTGGTGAAGTGCCTCGTAAGATCGGAAGTGTGGGCCAGCGTCTGACATGAGGTGGATAGTGTTCACATTGCCTCCTCCTCTTCGATGCCTGAGAGCTTGCTCTATGCACTGAGACGCTCGGCAGGAAGTGTGGTCAAATATGTCAGAAATGATCCACACCCGTGTCCACAGAATAGTTCCGTCTACAGTTCTCTCGCTCACCGCAGAGCCAAAAATTGAAATTTCCTTTCGCGCGTTTGCGAAAAACGCTTCCCCCGTCTGGATGCAGCGCACTGGCAAGGTGAAGATCTCTTTGAAATCAGAGAGGATGACCACACTACCCCACAAAGCTCGAGTATGTATCCACTATGGTGTGGAGAAGCATTTTAAGAGCGAGGCTGATAGACTTTTTGCACTTTTCGAGCTGTATGTGAAGGATGCCCGTCGACAAGGCCAGGATCTTGTGGAAGTTGCTGAGCTCTGCAAGTTCTTGGAGGAGAAGAACAAAGCTGCGAGGAGCGAGGATGCCACTGCCCCTGTCCTGGTGGTCATCAACGACCATGACTCTCAGAAGAAGCCTGCAGGACAAAGATACCGCCTGACATCCAAGCATTTTCACATCACCCGAACGTACTGCGTCTCAAGCGCTCCAGTTTCCCAGGCTCACAGCCGCTTGGGTGTCAAAGTCTTCAACCACATCTTCTCCAATATGGTTGCTGCCACCAATCTCACCAGTGAATTGGAGCTAGTGCCAAGGAAAGATTGCAATCCTGATTGCCGTAGAGTGTACTGGTCCGAAACTGGAAGAGAGCGGTGGGACCATGATGTGAAGCCCCTCGGAATTCATGATGAGACCTCACTGACTAGGAGACAGAAGGCCCAGGGTCATTTGCTTCAAGGTGGTGCTGATCAAAGTTTTACTGGCAAAGCTGCTGTTGACTGTTTGGTCGAAAGAAGGAAGCGTCAGGCTGAGAAGCAAAAGCGCAAAGCAGCAGCAAAAAAGGAAGCGGCGAATTTGAAGGCTGCTGGATCAGAGAGCTCCTCTTCTTCATCTTCATCTGGCAGTGGCAGCTCCGACGCAGCATCTGAAGACTGGAAAAATGTGCGGGGTTGAGGGATCATGGGTGCAGCTCTTCAGAATGTAACCTCATGGCAGTTCTACTCAAAAGAGCATTGGGGGTTGTAAGGAGGATACCCGGCGCAGCTTGTGGGAAGGTCTGCTCATGGCAGTTCTATTGGAGAGAGCATTGCAAGGGCGATGGGATGGTCTTCTCGTGGCAGTTCTAGTGGGGAGAGCAAATTGTGGAGGATACTGGGAAGGTCTATATGGGTTTTATGGGGGCGTTGGTGTGGGGTGCTCAGGTATTCTTGGGATGCACGTGCCTAGATGCTGCGCCCATGGATCTAAATAAATGGCTCCTTTCCTATGTGGGGCTGCTTCCATCTTGCGTCTCTTTCTTTCCTAGCTTTCAAGCAGTGGGCCATGGAACACCTGCTTGGTGTACGGAAACCCAAGCCCTGTAAAACGATAGGGGGCTCACTAAATTGAAATGAATACAGCATACACAATAAATATTGAAAACGGCTCATATACATGTGGTGAAACAGTCTTTGGATATTTTGAACATAGAAGATTGAGAGAGCAGAGACTGAGGGGTTGAAATGACTATAAGGTCGCCCGAGCGTACCGAGCGTCAAGATCCACAGGCTCAGGTGCTGCACGGTAGACAAGAAGCAGTGTTTGCAAAGGAAGTGAGTTCAAGCATGAGAATTGAGTGGTGGGTCGTTTATGTCATGGGAGAATAGTCTTCGGGATTTGTACAAAGAGCCCTGAGAGAGGGATATGACGCAAAGGTGGCTGCAAATGCTGCTGAACCAGCTGCTGAAGCAAAGGTTGCGCCGGAGCTGGGAGCTTGGAGCATGGCAGAGTGAGAGACACAAAGGCGTGATCATCACCAGCACTGGATCTTGTTGGAGTCGTTTGCAGTGAGACCTGAAGTTCCAGGCCAAAGTTGCCCCCAAACTGGCGCAGTGCCAAGGACTTGATGCCAAGAGTAGTTGTTTTGATTAGATCATCAGAAGCCACCAGACCGTACTTTTGGCATATCTACATTCAATCATGTATTGAGAAGTTTGGATAAATTTGGTCCATGTAAACGCATGCAGGACAGTGAAGGCACGACTTACTACTACCATGTCAAGGACGCTGCTGTGATTGAACGGTATCTGACCCGTAGCAAACACCAGAAAACCCCAAAGACGCCAGTGGCTGCAAGTGTCACTGCACAATCAACAAAGTAAAACGCAATGACACACACACACACACCAATAATATGCTACCATGAAATCCCAAGATTTTAGAAGAAGAACGTACGAAGGAAACAAACATCTAGATCAACCCAGCCCAGTGTCAACCAGCTCAGTGTCGCGAGGAACGCAAATCCCAGTGGGACGTCGAGCGCCCAGTGCCAATAAGACTAGTCGCTTCTTGCTCCTAGTAGTACGGCCGGGAGCCTAGTAGCGTCCTTGCTCCTAGTAGCGATGCCAGGAGCCCCTAGTAGCTTCTTGTCGTATTTGAGCCTGCTCAGTTTCCGGAGTGGCCTCACACCTGAGTGGGTCCACGAATGGGTGTGCGCTCGTTCATTTCTGGGCGGGTGCAAGGTGTGGCGCGGAAAGGATTGGACGAAAGCGATTTGGAAAGATGTGACAAGACTCTACGAATGCATTTTTTCCTCTTGTAGCTTCTTGTTCCTAGTCGCTTCTTGCTCCTAGTAGTACGGCCAGGAGCCCCTAGTAGCGTCCTTGCTCCTAGTAGCGATGCCAGGAGCCCCTAGTAGCTTCTTGTTCCTAGACCAAAAACATCTATATTGAAATTTGGGTATATTTTGGTACTAATGCAGCTCGACAGTCCTGTTCCTTTCCGCGTGATACTTCCCCCTGCTTGGCTCACGGGCTTGTGCCACCCTGCTTGGCTCGCGACTTGTGCCACGACTCCAGCATCAGACTGAGTTGAGGCTGTGGAAAGTTCTGTGTGACTGCTGATCGACATGTGTGGGATTGTATTCCTGGCAGTTCTTTTTGAGTCTCAATCCAATACAGTGACACCACTACACGACTATACTGACTATACTTATTTTATTGTATTACAGATGTATATATGAATTCTTTGTCCATGCTATTTCCAATTCTTTTCTTCGCGCTATGCGGCTCAAGTCTTTTAGGCAAATTTTTGGGGGTGTGGCAATTCGATGCCAGGCAGAGGCCTTGGACTTTTGAGTTGAAACACGCGCGAGCAGTTGCGAACAAGTTCCGAAGCTCAAAATCTTGGATATGTTCTGATATTTTGTACACAGATCCCATCACTTTTCTTGGTCATAAAACTATCGTACCGTTCGCCACAATAACCCCCCCCCTTCCGTGGTCCGAAACCGAAGGATTCACCCTTCCCTCGCTTCCGGTCTCCAGGGTCTCCAGGGACCGGTGGGATGGGCTCCTCCCGTCCAGGATGGGCTCCTCCCGGCAGACCACCTGCTGGAGGAGCAATGAAGTGAGCCTGGCCAGGGATAGCCTGGCACCCGGTCTTTTCGCGGAGCGAAGGATGAAAATAGACAGCGCGAAACTTGGTGAAGAACGTGGTGAGCGAGCTGGAGGTTTAGCGGTTTGGACCGGAGCACCGTTGGGGTGAAGGATGAGGTGGAGCCAGTACTGAGGCTTCAATTGCATTGTGGCACGCAAGCGGCTCGACGTGACAGATGTCATGATTAAGCACATCAACATGGGCCGGCGAGGGCCTTGAACATCCTTGAGAAAAAGAAGAACGAAGGAAAGGGATTAAAAGACAGTTTTGCAAAGATCTAGAATCTAAAGTCTAGAGGAAAACAGAAGAATAACAAATCCCAAAGAAAGAAACAGTACGTCAAAGATATCTCATGGACATGCTTGTCTTCGGAAGATTCTCTCAGAGCTTCAGGCGAGCTGAGATGAGTCCACGCAGCTCCCATCGATGCACACAGGTCAAGGAGCTGCGAAAGCCCGCTGAGAGGCTCGCCCCGAAAGCTACATGAACCATTGTCAACGAAAGAACTTGCAGATTTCGGCCCGAAGGAAGGATGCGAGAAGTGCAACAATGCAACATTTTGTCCACGCAAAGTTTGCTGTGAACGCTGTTTCTTTGGCAATGTCAACTGTGATTTGTGTGCAGGTGAAAATGGCCAGTGTTTCCAACTAGAATTGTCCATTGCCCAACTTTCGGTGGTGTTTTGCACCATCACGACGTTTCATTGATGTTGTGTATCATTTGACTTGAGTGCCACCTTGTCATGCGTGCCACGCATTTCTATTGTTGGTATCTCAGACGGGGTGACTACTAAAGCGGTTCGTCCTTTTGTGTTGTGCTGCTTTGGTCACTTTTAGGAGTGCTTCGTGGTTGCCAACTTCATGTCTCTGTGACGTCACGGTAGTGGCGGCAGTGTTTGATTGTTGTGGTCCTTCTGGTCGTCTATGGCAGATGTTTAGCAGCACAAACAAGAATGGAGTAAACCAGGAGCGACATGACCTTCAACATCCAACTAGATTTCCACATTTATACTGTAGAAATAACCCCCCCCAAAGATCTACCTTTTCATTTGTTTGTAAAACTTTTTTCCAAGCAAGGACTTGGTTTGCCTGTATTTGCGGTGTTTTCGTGTAATTTTCAGATATATATGTATATTTAATTATGGTTCAAGAAATATTTGAACAGTTTTTGAGTTTGTGGGATACCTTGTCCCCCACAGGGTCACCTATCCAAAGTTTTTTTTTTTTTAATTTGAAGGAAACCAACATAAAAAACAATGAACACCAACCAAAAAATCTTTCAGGCTGAAACCAACGATTCTCCTCAGAGTTTTGTTTCTTTTGTTTGGGTTTTGGAAGTCGAGCCACTTTGGAGACATAGAGTTCGCAGTTTTGGTATTTGGTTTTCCTCGAGACATAAAAAGATCGATATACTGTATCCGTATTCAACCTGCATCTGTATTCTGCGTGGTATTCCATTGTTTCTTCTTAATGCTTGAACGAAGGCGTCCTTCTCCAGCAATCCATAGTTAACAACACCTATCAACTTATTCCAGTTGTTTTCTTCTTGATTATTAGATGCTGTATGTTGTTTGTGTTCACCAATTGTTATCTTTGTAATTGACATTGGGTGTTTTACCGGATTCATTGCCTGATAGATTACATTATAGTTCTGTTGAATAACATTACATCATTTGCCAAAGATTGAATTTGCTGAATACAATAAAATAGAGTCAGTTAACTTATAATGCTCGCAGAGATTCTACTAGTATATTGGGTGTGCACTTAGAACCGAACGTTAACATCCCAACCCATAGCACCCCACACCCCACCCCACCCCACTCAATTTCAGTCGTATTGTGCAGCGTAGCATAGAAGAGTTTCTAATGTATGGGTGTGCACTTAGAACCGAATGGTAACATCCCACCCCACCCCACTCAAAGTCAGTCGCATTGTGTAAGGTAGCGTAGAAGAGTTTCTAATGTATCAGTGTGCACTTAGAACCGAACGTCAACATCCCAACCCATCCTTCTTAAAATTGAAATACCTAAGGGATGTCAGGATATATGAAGTATATAGGTAATAAACACCAAGCAGGAAGTACAACTGACCAAAAAAAGAGCTTAAAAAAAGTCAAATATACAATCAAAACACAGAAGCTAGTTATACAGAACTTTAGTTGAGGGTTGCATTAATTATAGTTGAGGATGAAGACACTTATAACAATATGAACCTAGCAATGTATAGCTTCAACAAGGCGGTACTTAACCCTTTTCAAAAGTTATACCATTCAATTCTATTGGCTGCCCTGTGGTTTGAGTAGTTGCCCATAAAGCCTTTTGGCGCATGTGGCTAATATGTGAACACCTGCCATAGTGGAATTCTTCAGTGTGTTTTCACATATGAGCCACCATCAATCATGTTGTATTTAAGGGTGTTCTTCCCGTTCGTTGATGTAATAAACAATGGGAGCTTTTACTGGGTTTGTTTACTTCCTGCTCCTGTTGCAATGCCTTCAATACATATGGTTATTTTTAGCCATTGCAACAAGTCTTAATACTATGGTTCATTTTTCTATTTAAATGGATACTCCTTTTCAGTCAACTCATTTGTGGCTACAATCTCACCAACCCTTTCCTATCAAAAGCATCTTTCGAGTTGTCCCACTCACAAGAGCAGTTTCATAAAAGAACATTGATGCATTCCCGCAGCAGTGACCTTTTTCAAAGCCTTGTGTCAGCATTTGTTTTAAAAGGTGTGTTTGTAGTATTACATTGAGGATTTTGCTTAAGAAAACTTTGGTGTGTCTTCTGCATTTTCCTTTTTGAACGTTCTCTTGCGTATAAGATCCTTAGGAAAGTCTGTCGCGTTTATATGTTGAAAGCTGACAGTGAAATAATAAACTCCTTGATGTGCTGCATAATGGTAAAGGACAAATGCAACAAAAAAGGTCTTCTTCTCCTTCCCTTTCTTTGCATCAAACAATCTTGCCCTTTGCTCCTATCTTCTGGCTTTCACAAACAATATAACACCTGAACATATAATCTCAACCCTCTGCATGTTCTTTGCTGCTTGTAGATCTATCTATAATATTGGCCTAGAAATGGATTCGTGAGCCAAAGAAGGTAGATCTTTTCTTTTGTGGGGGGGGGGGTAGCATATATTAATTATTAATACATATATATATATATCTATAAGCAGTATCTCTAAATACATATATGTGAACACATAATATGGACGCACACACATATATATATATATACATACACGCGTACAAATCACACACTCGTCGAAGGGCCCCCTTCGAGCGGGGTTGGGGAGATCGGTCTGAGCATTTTGTGCAGGTCTGAGCCATCAGAGATGAGGCTTGAAACTTCTTTTTGGCATAGCTTAAAGTCAATCGGTTTTCAGTGACAGCCCCGCGTTTGACGAGTTTTCACTCATGTTTCATGTTTGTACAGTGTTGATGGTTTTTGGCGAGCTTTCACTTGGGGATTTGATTGGCAGTGCTTGCTTGGAATCAGGGTTTGCCGTACCCGCAAGCTGTTGTAACTGCTGAAAAGCGTAGTGAGCAACAGGAAGACATGAAAGGGTCTCCTGCACAATGAATCGACAGGTAACAACTCGAATCAATCACTTCTGACAGTGCACGTCGTGTTCTTTTGTGATCTTTTTAAAGACCTTTTTGCTTTGTATTAATGACGAATCGAGGTCAACCAAGACGGATTGCAAGTCTCGAGACTGATACATGTTCATGCCCCATGGCTCGTGCCGCTGGCGAGCTTGGGGGGCATACCGATGCTTTCACAGAAGCAAACCACTTCTGGATCATGCGAAGTCCGGCAACTCTCCAGAAGTCCCACAGGAGCCTTTTGGGAGTTCAAGAGACTTTTCGATTGATCAGCACACGAAATACAATCCAAAACATCCTGTGGACTTCCGGAACTCCGGTGGTGCAGACGGATATATATATATATATTCCTTCAGTTGTAGAACTGATCCTGAACTCAGGAGCTTCTGGTCCCTGCCCAGATCCTTGCAGTGAGAAACCTGACTCCTAAGATCAAAGAGCTGAAGCTGCAGGTCGAAGAACATTCAGGCCCAGGATGCCCATGGTGCCACAATGGGCCCGTTGTTCTGGCCGGATGCCACCGGGTACTTGTACCATGTTGTCCTAGAGACATTTGGGGTGAACACATGTGGTTCATGTGTTTGTTTTCCGAGTCGCAGTTGGTAAAGAATCAACAGTCCCTGAGGCTTCACCTTCAAAGCAGGCAATTGGGTGGATTTCTTCATCGATCAGGTCCGCATTTTTTGTTGACGCATCAGAAGCAGTTCAGTCCAACGACTTGGACCAAGTGGACCTTTTCGGAGACCTTGAACCAATTGTTTCCTTATGTTTTTCACCTTGATGAATCTGTTCAACTTGACTCAGTGACTCACTTTTTCATCCTTCTTTGTCTTGTGAGGATGGTGTCAGCAAGGTGGGCGGGTACTCCATGTCATCCATTCCATCAAGTCTTCCGGAGCTACGCCTGGCGGTGAAGACTTCCCGCCATCCACCGGCCCAGTGGTGCCACACCTTGGCGCAGCCAGGGAAATGGGTGAAGTTGAGGCTTAGCGACGTGTAGCATCATGTAACCCTTGGTGGGAAGGGCTGGAAACTGGTTCCAAGCCAAGAGCAAACACATTGACACGTTAGCTGTTCAACTCCCATGTTTCTTTAATTTTCACCCTTCTGTTTACAGCAGTATGGACTGCGAGATGATACGCAGAAGCAGGGTGGTGACACAGTGCTTTCAAGGAAAGCTGGAGGCAGCTTCTACTTTGATGCGTACGAGCATGGAAGGCATCTGAAACATTTGATCTTCATTGCCGGCGGAATTGGCATCAATCCCATTTTCTCAATGCTGCAGGTTGGGCTCAATGAATTGACAGTGCTTTGCAGCAAACATAATCAAGGTAGAAAACCTCGAACTCGACAAAAGTCGACTAAGGACTCGAGCAAACCGAGTTGCTGATCCTCACTTTTTGGTATCTGAGTCTCACCCCACCAGCCCCTCAATATGTATGAAAAGAATGAATAAATCGTATATCTCAGAAATTTCTCCGCCCTCACAAATCCGGAAGGTAGAGCGCAGCTCTTTTCTGTTCTCCAAAATGCCTCAAACGTGCTTGATAGCCCAGTCTTTCGTCAGGCAAGGTCTCTGCAGACACCAGTGCACACGTAACAATGAAAGTCGTTTCGCTTCTGAACCTTGCGACGACACAATCGAAAGTATGAATCACGGGCGAATGCCAGAGAGAAGCCGACCCGAGTGGCCACTATCGCTATCAAAGCTCGGGAGGAAAGGTCTACGGTCAATGGACGGACATGGTCAAAAGGATTCACTGCGTGGATTCCACACAGTCACAAACAAAAGTGCATGTTCACTCACGCAAGGCTAAAAGGGATAAGCCCAGCGATCACCATGGCATGTCTTTAAATGCCTCTGCACTGTCACAAACCGTAGGGGTCTTTGTCCATCAAACCCCATGCACAAACCTGGAGAGTGTACCAGACAAGTTGCATGAAGGACTGAAACACCGTACCTGGCAAAAATCAATCGATCAAGCCAAATGAAGCAAAACTCAAGCCAGCAGCCCTTGCGCTTCCTCGCCCGAATGCTTAGGGAAGGGCTCTTGCCAGTCTTGCATGTTCTGGGGTTTCTTCCGTTGAACGAAATTTGGGATTGGTGCTTGACAACAATGGACTTCCTATCAGTGTGCAAGAACTTCCGACTCCAAAAGTGTCCCACACAAGACTGTGCCACCAGAGCGTCCAACAATAGTGTCAAGCCAAAAGTGTCCCACAAGAATAGCATGTCGCACAAGAGTGCCCTCCTACACGAATGTCACGCAAGACTGGTGTTTGCCAGTGTTTGGTGTCTGAGATATTCGTTCGACAATGTGTTGCATTCGGCTGGCGGTGCGTGCAATCAGGTTCTTTCGGAGGATTTGTTGACAAATGTGTAAAGACTCCTCCATGCTTCTCCTCCTTCGCGTTAGCCTCTTCCTTCGCCTTAGCGGCGCTTGTTTGCCGTCGCAGGAGGCTTTGCACGACCAGCACGAGCTTCGCAGTTTGGAACGCATCACGCTATTGTACTCTGCATCAACGGCCGACGAGATGGCTTACAGGTGCCAAAACAAGGTTTCCAAAGGGTACCCTTGAAGTTGTGACCTGAGATCCACCCAGAATTATATACTTTAATTACACAGATTACACATACATAAAGAAACATATGTACATGAATCGAATCAAGCAAGCAGTTCCTGTTGGGGTTTGCAACGTCGCTTCATTGTGCGAGGACGGATTTGATGGCCTTGGCTGCAACACATCCTTTGCTTGACTTGGAGCTCCGCGTCACACGAGATGAGACCTGGCTGGGTGCCCGTGGGCGTCTTAACATGGAGCAGCTGCGGCGACACCTGGGAGAGGCCCAGCCAACACTGTTTTTAACATCTTTTAACGCACGTGGGGCTCCTGGCTTTACTAGGAGCAAGGACGCTACTTGTGGCTCCTGGCATCGCAAGGAACAAGGACATCTCTACTAGTAACAATAAGATACATGTATCTTATTTAACAAACTCATGGAGTCCACCTGAAGGTCGTTTGTGTCGCTGGCGTCGATCAAGATGTGGTCGTTTGGGACTCGAGGTAACAGATAGCTTCTTTTGTGGTTTCTTCCATTCTCTCTGCCTCTTTCTCCTCACTCTTACTTTTTCATTCTCCTTTGCCTTTACATCTGCTTCTCCTTTGTGGGTCGCTATGGTTGCCTACTTTGACATCGCTTGAGCACAGACCTGCCACACCTGAAATGACACGAACGGGCGCCATCACGCATGGTGAAGGACTTAGCCGGGAGAGTCGCCAGCGTAGACGGCCCTTGACAGTTGGTTGATGAATAGAAGGGATAAATACTCCCCGGTCTTGGTTCACCAAGAGGTAAACATGGTCCCTGGCATCCACGCCAGGACAAGCGATTGGTTTATCTTTGTGGCCCACCAGCAATGACTGACCAGCTTGTGGAAGACTTACAGAGAGAAGGCCTTGCAATGTCTGACTTGCGCTACGAAAAATGGTGGTGACCACCCCTTTCAGCTATTTGCGGCTGCCAACGTAGCCAAGTTTCCATCGTCCAAGACACTTGATTTATTTCAATGGGCGCGCAAAGTCGTGTCCACACAGTCTGGCGGAACTTCCGCTAAAACTGCGTGAGTGCAACGTGACGTAACGTGCCCGGGTGAATTTTGCTGGCGGGTCTCACTTCGCATGCTCCTGATGTACAATCTAGCACAGTTCTTGTTGGGATCTGGCACCGGATTTTCCAGCCAGGCCAACAGCAAAGCATTCCCTCTCGGACGAGCGCCCGCCCGAGTGCCCTGTGCCGCCGTTGGCGACGCCCCGCGTGGCGACGCCACGCGTGGCGACGCCCCGCCCGTCCACGCCGCTCCGCGGGGAAGCCTGATGAGCCTGCGTTGCTGATATTGATGACATGGACTCCTTTGACATGAGACCACAGTGAAACACTACGATGGTGCCACTTAGCGACATCATCTGGGCCCCAGGCTGAACCCTCCGACTCCCTTTTGTCGGACTGTGCAGTGAGAGATGGCACTAAGGTCGCAGAGAAGTGCCGAAGGTATTCAATGCATGGAGCACCCCAAAGACACAGGAGGACAGACAATGTCGGATGAGAGTGCAGGTCTTGGGCAAAGCATAGATTATCATAGATGAGTCGGATGAGCGGGTTGAAGGACAAACACCTCGGAGACAGGTAAGAAGGGTATGGGTATGGTATGGGCTTGTTTAAGCTACCGGCGCTGTTAACGACCAGATGGCAGAATACCATTTTTATGCTTTCTTTGTACAACTTCCCTACTAACTGGGTCTTTGACATTGTGTTGTTAACAGCGTTGGAGCTGCCACTGCCACGTGCCATTCTGAGTCCACCGGGCCTTTAACAGCGCCGGTGCCTTGTTTAAGCCTAAGTCAAAGCAGAACTCGATTCGGTTCAGATGAAGCAGCCAAGTAAAGACCAAACGGGAATGCCGGTCCATTTGGAGATTGAGCACGGTGCCACTTTAAAAGTTGGACTCCAAAAGGGAGACTATGGCACTATGGGCTGTTTCCCCAACTGGAAGTTCTTCCCGCTCTTCCAGACCGCCAAACCAAGCTGCAGCGTTGTTTGCAGAAAGTTGCCGAGAGAGCGCAAGCACCGGAAGCAGAGGCAGTTCCTTCTCTCCTTCGATTTGAACTTGCTTTTTCTGGGTTTTTGGATGGTTTTTTCATGGAACAAGGAGTCATTTGCTTCGTCGTCAAGAGTTCACGAGCTTTCGATCTTGCACTGAACTATGCATCGCAAAAACCGCGCTGCAGTTTCAGTGCGTGAAAACACGTGCGGAACATGATGGAACTCTTCTTGGACAGGACATGACGAGACCCAACAAATACATGGGAGTCGTTCTAAAACCCGTGTAATGTTTTTGGTGGACGAGTGACATTCTAGCTTTTTGAAGTTATGTTTACCTGCAGGGGCGAAAGGATGCGAGAGCGCGGCGAAAGGTTTGGCGAAAGGCTAAACTTGATAGACATATATCATAGATAATTCATACATGTATGCACATGTTGTGCATATATCTTTGTGTCTAAAACAAACGGAGAGAGTGGTTTTCATGCAAGGCGTGATAGGCAGAAAGCTGCAAGAGTAGTGGCTCAGCATGTAATATCCCCAAGGATATGTATCACCAGCTTAGTGAACACCCCAGCATGTCATAGATGCGTACGAAAAGAAACAGACAGCAATAAGAAATCTTGCAGACGGATCACAAGAGAAGATTCAAGTATCAAAATTCCCCAAACCGAACTAGTAAGTAGCAGCGGCACATTTATTGTTGCATATACGATGGATGAACTTTTGTGGCCCTACTCAGATCCTCCACCGAAAACGAAACAACGAAAATAATATAATATATCCTAATACATTTTACATTGGGGGCGAAAGGATGCGAAAGATCCGCGAAAGCGCGGCGAAAGAACAATTTTTGGGAACCATAATTTTGAACAACCCCCACATACAAAATCATACAAGTACAACAATCGCCTCCGTTCATTTAAAGAGATCTTCGTCCATCCAAGGGTATCCCAAAGAGACCAAAAAGAAAGGAGACCACGCTGTGGGTCGTGTTGCTGTTTGCTTTCTTCGTGAAGCAAGCGACCATCAAGAGCGACGCATGATATGCCGCAGGTGACGACCAAAGAGAAGTTGCCCATGGCTTCGGGGCCGGTCGAAAGCCCGGGAGGTCAATGCCTTGGATCGGCACCTTCGAATCTCGCAACTGGATGCGAGACGAGACCCGAGGTATCCCACAATCCGCTCGAGAACGGCGGGTTCCGGGCTCCAAGTGTTCATCCATTCATACTGTGCTTAAAATGGCGAGAGTTTGCAACATTCCTAGCCATTGAATTCCCTCGAACGTGTTTTCTTTTTTTGAATCAGACGTTCTATATCTGCAGAGTCAGACGTTCTAGATGTGCATACTATATGCATCTATATGCCATGTCACAGTTTAGGAAAGTGCGATCATGAATTTCAGGCATGTTGGATAATGTTGCTGAAACCTGCAAAGATAAATAACCCCCTCAAAAGCGATAACCATGTCGCCGCAGGTGTTGGATCGTCATTTTGAATCATGTCTTCCGTGTTACGAGATGTTTTGACAAGCACTCATGTGGGATAAGTCATGCTGAACCTGAGGCGAACTGGGAGCAGTCATCCGCTTCAAGACCACAGTCAGCCGCCATGTCGAGCCTCAGACAAAAGCCAGAACGCGATTTTCCCAATCAAAGAAGCAGCTAAGGTATAGGGTATAGGGTGTTCTAGACTTCTTGATTTGGGAACCTCAAAGCATCTCAAAGCCTCCACTACTACGCTCAAAATCTCTAAGTCAGGTCTGGATCTGACAGCGATTGTAGACGACATGAGGCCGAACCTGGGTTCCACGACCTGCTGGCGGCCTGGTGAGCACAGCCTCCTGCGAAATAGCCACACCGGCGGTGTTTTTTGCAGCAATGTCCCAAACGATCTCCGAAATAGAGCTGAACAGATTTGAAAGGGCTTCTGGAGATTTCTTCCAGCAAAAACCAACCATCTTCAGTTTGCAATTCATGAGTGTGTCGAGTTGATGCTGCGAGAAGTCGCATGATGCTGCGTGAAGAAGTCGACGAGCCGAACGGACAGCTTCCAGATGCTTCCAGGCTTCAACTCCATTGTTGGCAAGACCAAACTCGATGTGACGGAGGCATGGGACCTCGCACGGTGCGAGGTCGGCACACGCCTTCCGCGCCGTGCGCTGAAGGTCATGATTCGCCATGCGAGTATGGGACGCCAGGTTCGTGGCCTAAGCACTGCTGGAGAGGTAAGGGATCAGATAGCATCAAAGGCACCACAACAAAACAAATGATATTGTTTTTCAATACATGTCCCAGGAATGGTTGCAATTATATAGTGTTCAAGTGCAGATGTGAGCTTTTGTCTGAGGGTTTGTTACGGTTTGTTTCTCTCATTTGTTGCAAGCTCCTGTCTTGACAGGCTTGGAAAGGACACCTCAGTATAGTGCGAATCACCACACAGATCAACAGAGAGCACGTGGTGCACATGCCTGGCAAGCCAAACACTCGCAGCACACTCTTGCTATCATGAACAGCTGACGTTGAGAAGAGCACCATGCCAATTTGAAATACACATGCAACAAGCTCAACCGAATTGATGTGCACTTTGGCAGTAAGTCAAGTGTCGATGACCCCGAATGATCCGCATGGCCAACAGGAATCTCGCATGCAGCCCTTGTGGCGACAAATGTGGTCTCACAACACACATGCTCTCGGAAAATGTAGCCGATCACCTGCGTTTGCTATCGTTTGCTTCGAGGCTGAAATGGGGCCCCAATGGAGCCCAGGTGGCTTGGCGTCGAGGAGGTCCGTCCTGAACAGACTTGGTGGTTGGCCCAAGGGGTTGGGTCGGGTTGGAATCGGGGACGACCAAAAGTTGCAAAGAAAGATGCAACAGTTTGGACGAAGCATCATGATGAAGCATGTGCTTGCAGTACTATGTGCTTACTATGGCTTGGTCTCCAAAGACTCATCAAGCAAAAGCATCTATGATGTGATATTCCCCAGATAGCTGAAAGATGCTGAAAGCTATAAGGCGACGGCCAACGGATTGGGCAAAACTATCCCTGCTGCTCCGACTCTGACCCTTATCGCCGTGGCTGCTTCAAGTAGTGGCTCAAATTTATTGTTTTGCCGAAACTATACGAACTCTAGGGCCCTAGGGGTTCTTATTTCTCTATGATTTGCATTGATTGGGTGGCTGATCAGCGTTTTGCTCCTTGCTGCCGCTTGTCCTCCACTTCGATTGCCGCACATTTCTCCTCATTTGTTTGCCTGTGCGATCGGCGCTTCGATTGCCGCTGTGACCTTGTCTCCTTATTTGTCTCCCCGCTTGTCCCTCCACTTGTCTCCCTATCTCACTTGTTTGCTTGTGATCAACGTTTTGTTCCTGTGGCCTTCTCCCCCAATTATTTTTTCCACGACCAGATGTGTGGAGCCACGTGCTCTCATAGAAGCTCTGATGGGATTTATTTTCGTTATATTGATGTTTATTTTATTGTTCCAGGTGCGTTCTTAGAGTGGCATGCCGGTGTAATTTTGTACATATTGTTGTCATCTCCGGAGGTTGCTGTGGCCTCAATCAGTTGCAAGATTTGCAAGCACGAGGTGGACGATCTTGGAAACATTGCCAGGATGGCCAGCGTTTTGACCGGCAGGGCCTGATTCCTGGAATTGCCCGCTGCAAGCTTGTAGCCTTCGGTAGACTCAACACATTTTTTCGGTTTCACGAATGTTTCACCAGAGAAAGCTTCGAGGCAAAATGGAAACGGTGGTTTTAGGAGAGGAGTTTAGCTTTTGTGCAGTACCCACCTGCCATCTATGCAGATGCGAACTGTACTTTTGTTCGAAATGTGTGAACCTCGAAATATGTGACCACATTCTGTCACATGCATTGCAAAGATCTTGACTCATCGGACAATACACGACGATATCGTCCTTGATTCCGTCCCTTTGGCTCAACCATGCTCAATCACAAGCTTCAATCGGCCGCCGATTTCGGCCAGTGAATGCGAGTCGTGAGCCAGTTCGTGAGCCCCTTCGTGAGCCCATGGGTGGACTGGAAGTCCATCAAGTTCTCCCTTATGATTCCTGGTATCATAGGTCCCACTGTATTCGATTCTCCTTTTGGGATTCGATGTGTTCGGCAGATGATAAATATCTGTGGGCTTGGTCTACCGTGCAGTGATCAGGACGCAGGAAGCAGATTTCTTTGCAACTTAGATGCCGCATGGAGGCTGAATATGGCCAATACTTCTTGTCGAATTACAGGAGAGGAAGGGGAGATTGTCCTGACCTTTCATGTGAACTGAGCAGTGTGAGAAGAAGATGAAAGGTGAAGGACCTCGGGTCACCACACGTTCCTCGATATGGGCCGGCCACCACATGTCAGGAGTGCTTTCTTGCATTGGGATGCTGACGGAGATGACCATCTTGTTGAGGCCACCCTTTTGGGAGTCCAGAAAGGGAAGGCACTGGGCACTGGGGCACAGAAGGTTTCCCCCTTCGCAAGTACCTGGTGCTATGGATGTTGAACGATGTCGATTGTTGTTGGCCCATGTTGGCTCTGGTCCTCCCTATTGCAATACTGTAGTATTGCAATGCACATGATTCTCCTGGTACATTTGCACATTTGACGGGATCGGCCAGGACCAAAGCGAAGTCGAGGCTGAATTCTCTTTGGACCTGTGAGATGGGACATGAATGGTGACTCAAAGTCTTGTCCTATTTTTTCGAAACCCTTTCGCTGGTTGAATCACATTTTTTAAACAAAAGCATCTCACTACTAATTGTTCAAGAGCAGTAGAACCAGTCGGGATTTCTCGAACGGTGCTTGTTGGTTTGATTGAGGCGGTGAATGGATCCAATGCAATCTGTGAGGAGAGAGCATCGGACCATATTGGATCCAATAGTTCAAGAGTTTCAGACATTTGCTGTCATGCATCTCGTGAAAACGTTTTGGAATGTTTTGGATCTATTTGGCTTCTGCTTTCTTCTTTTGCCTCCGATGTTTGATCGTGTTTGCTCTTTTTTTTTTAAAACGTTTCTGTGGTCTATTAAGTATATTGAAACAGCATAAAACAGTTCTCTATTGCTTTCAATGTACAATTATGTCATGATATTTAATGTGTTCGTATCGTATGTTTTCTTGTTTGAACCCTCTCATCATTGGTGTTTGGCATTCTCGTGTTGGAGCTGTTTGCAAGCGATTCGCAGTTCTTTTACATGCACTCGAGAGTGGGCCATGTCCAGGATGTGGATGCTTTGCCAGCTTTGCCAGAGGCAAATGAAGGCATGGAGTTCCAATTAGTAGCGTCCTTGCTCCTAATAGTAAGGCCAGGAGCCCCTAGTAGCGTTCTTGCTCCTAGTAGCGATGCCAGGAGCCCCTAGTAGCTTCTTGTTCCTAGTAGTCATTCTGAAATTGCTTCCCAATATTGCTTCCGTAAAGCTCTACACTCTACACGGTTCTTGAGCCGTCAAGCTTGCACCATTATTATTGCAGGCTACTTAAGAGCAATTTCTGGCAGATCTCCAAATTACAAATTACCTTTCAGCGCCATCCGAGAGGTGTGGCGGACACCCACTCCGACCTCCCAAAAGGACCGCTGCTCGTTCGGGAGTGGCCCGCCGCGCCGGAAGCCAGTCCGGTTGGAGGCCGGAAGCAGAGTTAGTTAGATGTGTCGAGCGGTTTTTGGAACAGAGATCGAATATATAGAGTTATATGTATTGGAATAGGATGAACAGGAGAGTTTATCAAAGACCTACGTAAGCAAAGGCAAATCATAGTAATCATAGAATTCTATATGTAGAGTTACTCTGCGAGCTCCGGCCTTATGAGTTTCTTTGGTCTTGACTTGGCCTTGTGAGAAAATCACAAGGCCAAGAAGCCGATTTGACGACCTTTGGAGCTGATGGAGTGGATCCCACTGAGCTGCAGAGGCGCCGTTCAGCCACTTTCCGTACAGTATCCAGAAAGTGTCACTGACGTGGACATGATCTCACTCCTCCGTAGTTGCAGTTCGTGCCAGTCAAAGCCACGAAGTTTGAGTCATGAATTGACCATGCTTTTGCGGAACTGCCATGGTTGTTGAAACGGCCATGGTTGACCCTGACACTGACACTTTGATGACTGCCGGCACTGCCCAGGAAGCTTCAGGACCTTGTCCCAGAGCATGTGGCCAAGAGCTCAAAATCAGCGACCGGTGTGGCGAAAGGAACGGGTTGGGTAACTGCATGACTCCCAACCGGTTCTTGCTGGGGAATAAGATCATGACTCTCAACTACAACTATAGAGATAGTTTAGGATCCAGCTACCCTCATTCCACAAGAGTCACACCAGTCAGTCTATTCAGCAACACTGCCCTTTTCTGACCAACGCCAACGGACCTCTTGGACATTGATGGACCCCGAAAAACACGGTGCGACACCTCAGAATCCATCCATTTTGTGAGGTCAACAAAGAGGCGTGTTGGAATTCGTGTTGGAATCATCCTTGTCCCATCGATGTATGATTTCGTTGGGATTTCTTTCTTTCGCTCACACGAGCACATTGATTGTCAACGTGCAGCAGCCATCAAACGGCCTTTCTCCCTCGCCAAAATGATCAACTTTTTGTTCAGAAGTGGGCAGCTACGTTTCGACTTGCAATATCGACCGGAGGAATCATCCATGATCATCATCGCATTTTTGCTTCACCTGCACTGTGCGTTCTTGCCCAATGCCGTCTAATGCCCTTCAGCCATGATAAAGACTGGTCAGTGGATGTCAGTTGCATTAGACTGAAGACCTCTGGTCACCCCCCCCCTCGCGAGGCCACCGAGGAGTCACCCAAGGAGCTTCGCTTCAGTCACGTGGAGCAGGCGCAAGTCATCCATGTGTGTAGGATATTGACTCGGCATCCAAGTCATCACGGTATGGCCAAGTCATCTAAGTCATCTAAGAGATCCACCCTGGAAATGATTTGCCTCTCCATTGCACCAAAAAAAACACATCCTGACCCAGTAGTGCAGAGTGTTAGCAGGACTTTACCTAGTGAAGCGTGACATGGGACACGGCCCCTGTACTGCTTTGTTTGTTCAATTCTCAATGGTCAAATCCTGCAGAAGTCCGTGATTTCGGTGTCTAGAAAGCCACAGACACAGACTCTGTATTGTCCAAGAACTTGGCTGTTGGGAGAAACAGTGGATTGAGAAATGCTAGAGTTGGGCGTATACTACTAAATGCATCTAATTACTGTATATGAATTCCAACATGGTTGCAATGATGTATTATTCATACCTGAGCAATGCAAAGTTTATTCACGCCGCTCCGCGGCTAGGTCCGCCCGCACCGCCACGAAAGAATAATAGATATATATGCAAAACATTGATCTTCGACAGTCCATTCCGTGCTGTAAAACACAGTATTTTTTTAATACCGCCGTCACAGCCGGATTCTTCCATCTCGGCAAAGCACCGTGATTGACGGAGCGAGGTTTGTGACGTAGACGTTGCCGAAAACACGACTATGTACCGTATTTTACAGTGTTTTTACGTTCTGTGAGGCAGAAACCACTGCAAATATCGACGTTTTTGAGCTTGCCGTGGCCAAAAGCACCACTTTTTACCATATTGTTCAGTGTTTGTTATGCTGTGCGAGGGAGAAAACACTGTAAATATCGATGTTTTTGAGCTTGCCGTGGCCCAAAACACTGCTATTTACAGTGTTTTTGAGCCTGCTGTCAAAAAACACTGCAATTTGCGACGTTTTCAACAACGTGGCCGCCAAAAACGCTGCTATTTGCGAGGGGAATTTACAAAAACACTGCAAAAACCAATGTTTTTGCCCAGCAAAAACGGCGAAAACTGTCGCCCAAACAGCTCCGAAATCGCAAAATCTGGTGCCCCGGCCGCCCGACAAGAGACATGAAAAAAAAAGAACGTCTTGAAACCGAAATTCGAAGACCAAATGTCAAACAACTCAATGTTTTTTAACGTTTATCCGATTCCGGGCGGGCGCACGTGGTAACTAGTCCATTCCGTGCAGCAAAACACAGTATTTTTTTAATACCGCCGTCACGACCTATCAAAACCTCACGGTTTTGGCCTCGAAAAGGGTCCCCCCCCCTCCCCACAGGTAAACCTGACCTTACAGTTGTTGATGCCATCCGGATGATCACGCCCTGAGCACCTTCGGTGCGGGCGGATTTTTGAGCACAAAAAGGGTCTGCACTCGGCCATCGTATAGCCTTCCCTTCTGTTTTTGTCCAACATAGTTCAAACTTGAGTGCATCCTGACGAGGGTTTTCCCTTCTGCAATACGAATTCTGCTGGACATTGTGACCTAGAGTCTTTACCCATGCGAATGGGGTTGACAAAGCCAATGTTAATTGGATGACTATCCCGTCCTGTGTTCAATCTTTCCTTCCAAGTCAGTCGTCCATGATGTCTCTGTATGTCTCTGTTGTGCGTTGTGTTTTGCAAAACATATTGTCATATTGCATCTTGATTGATGTATCTTATATTTTGCATCAAGGTAATCCCCGGATCAAGCGAGGTACAGGAATCGGAATCTGGGCCTTGGGGCCATGCTGCTTCCACTCCTCACCAGACCCGATCTTGAGCGTTCCTGGTTACGTAAACTGGCTTCCGCATCTCGAGGCGTCGAAAAGACGCGTCTGTGATAGCCAACCACGCTGGTTTATCTGCAACCACGCTGGCTGATTTGGCCAAATTTGTTTAACATTTTTTCTTCACTCTTCTGACTTTCAAACCAGTGAATCCCGTCCAGCGAACGGGCAGCCTGACGAGCCGGGCAAGAGCCGTTCGAGCATCCGAGCGCCAAAGGCCGCCATGGAGCACCAGGGAGGCCTCCGTGAGGATCGTCTCCCCCCAACAATGGTCACGATCACGATGCAGCCACGAGCATTGGGTGCAGCCACGCGATTTTTCAGGGGTGCTGACTCCAACTGCCACAAGCTTCTCGAGTTGGACGTGATGACCAGTGAAGGTTGAGGCAACAGAGAAGAGGCTAGCGGCTTGCGGCTTCTTCATTCGTGGCAGTGAAACAGCTTGGCATCAGCTTGGGCTGTGCTATGATGCGCTGCCGTTCTGCTTTCTTAGCACATCAGTCCGTCTTTGGTAGTGGCCCCTCTTTTCCACATTCTTTTGCCAACCTGCGATATCCCAAAACCCGAGATTTCCCCCCAAAATGACGGGCTAGGAAACCCACATGTCACATGGCTGTCCATGCTTTCCAGTTCACCAAGCCGTCAGGTGGTGGAGCCAGAAGGCTGGACCGGCCGTGGCCGGGGATTGAAGAGTCCACTCCGACCCAGCTGGGCACCGCGGGCCGACTGGTGTCAGGTAGCGACTTCCCAAGCGCTCCTGCAGCAGTGCTAGCTGCTGCAGTTGCAGCAGCAGCGCAGGCAGGAAAGCCACACCATTCAGTCAATATGTAATTAAAGCAACTATAAATTATGGTCCAGATGCAGGACAGAGTTTGATAGACACATTGTGCTGGTTCAAAGCTGAGCACATTTCTTAGTTAATAGGTGCCTTTTCTGCAAGTTACTTCAGGAGCAAAATTCTGGCGAAGAGAGGCTGGCCACATTAGTTCGGTTGGGCCTCTAGGTGCTTTGCTGGAGTTTTCGAAGATTGTTCACGAGACGTCATGATTTCCGCCCCTGCAAAGTTCAGACCGTGAATCTTTGACCAATCTGTTCAAGACCCTTTTCCAACTGTTGAAGTGGACATGGTTGCATATATAGCATGAGCAACAGCACACGACAGAGTGTTTGATGACACATTTTCGAGTTATATTATATTTGTAGAGAACCACCCACAAACCTCCAAAGCTTAAAATTTACTGGGTGAAGATTCTTTGCGACTTGCAGATAGCTGTTAGCCGCCAGGATTGAGGATGTCCCGAATGGTGTGCCGCTGCTTACCTGCAGTTTTGTGGGAGGGCCAGGCTTCGGCTCTTATCACCTGGGCTACATCCAAACACCATCAACCGCCTCGCTATACACATGTATATGCAGATATGCATAGATATGCAGTATATAAGTACTCCCCTCCCCGGGGGAAAAAGATACACACTAAACTTGAGCGAGTTTCGTAAGGTTGCATAGGTTCAATATTATTGTTGTCGGATGATTCGTGTGTTGATTCTTTTAAACCATTATATATATAATAGTAACACATGATATGCATCCACGAGCTGTTCCGAGGATTCTGGATACATGTTGCCAGGTTCGATTGTGTGATTGTTCCTAACCTGGCAATGGGGGCACCTCGTGGATGTGAAGCCAAGGATAGGCGAACGGTCCCCGATTCACGAGATGGTCCCCGGTGGGTTTGGTCGCCGTTCGTCTCGGTTCGTCCGGTCGCGAAGGCTTGGACTGGTCACCGGTCGTATTTGGTCGTCCTCCCACATCGCATGACTTGTCACCAGTCCAGAGTTTCCGATACGAACAGGACCGAGGCCGCTTGCTTCTTAGCTTATTTCGCTGAAAAGAAATGCAACCCAAAGCCGGGGCCGAGGTACTAGTTACATCTAGTTACAAGATTCACATGGAGGAGTCTAAGTGAGCAATGTGCGGCATGATGAGCCGAAATGGAGGCCCACTTGAAGCTTGCATCCCCTCAAATCACACCGCAAGTAACACGTGTAAGGGACAGTAACATATGACGAAGCAGTTTGCGCGCGCAGTTTGGTCAAAGTTCGACTGCAATGTGTTTTGGTTTCATCCTATGGGGTTTGGAGATCTTTGGAGCCAAATACAGAACTCAGAACAACCCACCAGCAGCTGGCAGCCGTTCCAGACAAACAAGTGCGATGCATTTTCTTGCCAAGGAAAAGAATATCTTTGGGACGCTGGTCTCTGAGCTGACTTCCGCACATTCAGTGCTTGAAAGCCAGTTTTCAAGTGAAGCCAGTTTCAAGCGTTTGCGGATCCTTTGACAGGTAAGTTTGGGAATACTTATGATCTCATCAAACCCTTATGATTTCTCCTTTCCACAGGTCCTGTCATGTCCTATCTGAATCCCGTGATATGATGCAACTAAGGAGTCGAGCATGAGGCATCGTGTGGAGCGAGGGTTGGGTAAGAGTTGAGAGCAGATGTTAGCCATTTGTGAGTGTGTGACTGTTTGTAATATCTTATTCTTAGCAAACAACAATATGACATCACTTTACTTATCTTTACTTACTGTATATCTTCAACATCTAGTCCAAGCACAAGAAGTCAGACATGTTGGAGGATATCTAGGATTTTGTGACGCATTGTCTTGCGGAATCTCCAATTTTCAGAGATTTCGCGACAGGCTGGGCGACGGCATGCCACTGAGCCTCCAACGCAGCTCGGTTTGAAGGGTTCGTGTCTTTGATTTGGCAGCCAAGACACGAGTTTTGTGTCCAGGAATTGTGTGTTTTGTGTCTAATCTGAAAAAAGTGAGTTTCGCTGCCCAATGCTACTTGCCCGCTTTCTGTACGTTCCAAACCAAACAGCTTGCCTTCCGCCTTTGCTTTCCTTTGCTTTCCGCCCTTTGGCCCAACCGATCTTTTCCAGGCCAACCGTCTCTGTGGTGGACATGGATGATGAGGTGTCCAGGCCTCGGCGCAAAGCGAATTCGGCAAAGAGGCCGAAAGAAAGGCGTCGAAGTCGAAGCGTCAGCAGAATTCGGGAGTCTTGGTGTGAACGGATTGGCGTTTTTTGGGGCTTCTGAGAAATCACTTATACGTGAGCCCTTAAGTATATATCCTTAAGTGATCGTCTGGATGTGTGTTAAGTTACGTGTGTCTATATGAATCATATGAAGGTTTTACAATTGCTTTGTCATGGTTGGATGGTCGATTGGATATGATTGGACCTTTGTTCCGGTGCGTTCTCGCTGCAGTAAGCTCACTATTCATGGCAGGTGAGTAGACACGGCAGATGATTTTAAAGTAGGAAGATGTTGGAAGTACAGATTTCGTGATCTCTTGGAATGCGGTGATCCCTTCAACTGGGAATCACTGCCATTGGCTGGGAAAAAGTTCCAGTCTGTCATCTCGAAGCAGTCTGCGGACCTCAGTCAGTTGAGTTGTGGTCCTATTTTGATCTATTTTGAGCTTCCAGAATGACATCTCATGATTCAAAAAGAGACCCGTAAAAGGACTCGTTGTAGATATAACGCTGAGATCTTGCAGCGATCCTAAGTTATCGTTGCAGAGATGTTGAAGAGGTTTTCTACGGACACGGCGACGTCTACACAGACATTTTCTTGAGAGATCGCAAAAGCACTTAGCAGAGATCTTCTGCAGAGACCTTGTATAGGTCCACTCACATGGTAAAGGGATCTTGCAGAGGATGCAAAAAGGAGATCGTCCACTTCTACAATGTCCTTGCTGACGATAGCTTCTGACCAGCCGTTGTGTGCAGATTGGCTGGGGATCGTTTTGTACAGTTCCACCATCCGACTCTTTTTGGGGCTTTTGCAGGAAGAGGCTAGTCAACTAGCCATGCTGGTGTAAGAGAGATGTGCTCTACCCCAAGTGCCCTTGTTATTGCTTGAACATGCGTCAGCACCAGCGATAGCCTGAACATCGTGAAAAGTTCTATACCTTTGAACTCTGTAGTCACAGTTGAGGCACGTTCTACCTGTTCGTCTAAGGTCACGACACATTGACAACTTCTTTGGAGATGAAGAGGTCCGGTTGTTGTGGTTTTGTTTGTGCATCTTCAATATGTCAAGGTTTTTCGCAAAATTGCTTGTCCACTTCTGCATGCTTCTACTGTCGGAAGCCGGCTTATGATTAGTGATTGGAGGCCATTGCTATTAGTTAGAATATTGACTAATTCCAAGGATGTTTTTTGACTTCAAGTCTGACAGAGTTCCTTGCCGTACGTGGGACGGACATCCGTTTTACGCAAAACGCGTCGAACGCGTTGCACGCTTTCGAAGTGCTTTCGACGTCTCTTGCATCTCTGCATCTCTTGGTTCATCTCAGCCGGACTGAACGAGGGGCGTGAAAGACAATGGCATTTTGCCTGCACAAGGTTGCGAAGGGATGTGTTTGCGAAGGGCTGCTTGTGCCTTCACAAGCTTTTTTAGTTTGAAGGCTTCCAAGATGTTCCAAGGCCGGCATTGAAACTATACCTTAGTTTCAGAGTCGGCTGTATAAGAAGAATTGTTGTTCAACCTCTTCAGCGCAAATGTTTTTTTTTTTTTTTGCACGGTATTTGTAAGAGTGACTTGACAGTTGCCCACTTACAGTGACGCTTGACTCTTGACGTCACCCAGGCCAAAGAAGGGCATGCTTTGTTATTATATGTTGTGATTTTTGAAGCATAGTTACGCTGTAAGGATCATCAAGGGTCTACAAGGCAAAACGGAGGCCACGGCCAGAATCCGGAAGTGCAAGCTTACAAGATCTTACAAGTTCAAAAGCGATACGGCACAACTGAGGCAGTTGATGATCCTCCTCCACAAGGCCGGGGGGACCAAGCTGGACCTGCCTAAAGTATCCTAACATGTTAGCTTTCCAAAAGGTGCTACGAGAACCTCGCATGCTCCTGAGCAAAAGTACAATGAAGAGGTCCAGTTTTTTCGTACATGGGAGAGTGTACTTTAGGGAGTAAGCTCTGTTTTTGTTCCACGCTTGAATGATCTTGAATGACCACGTTTATCGGGGTTTCGCACTAGTCAATAGTGAGAGATCTTTCCTTGATAGGGAATGAGCATTGTGGCCACTCCACGTGGAAGTGCCAGCCCACTTTCCACCTAACAAGCTTTCGATGAAGCATTTGCCTTGCAGGAGCCTACTCAGCCTACTCTGTCCCAGCGTCTTTAGAGTCTCTTTGACCTGCAAGTTGGAGACGGCCAAATGGACTGTGTGGCGGGTGTGTGGCATACCTGTCATCGCTTAGTTCTGCTATCAAGTAAGTTGATTGCAGATGGAGGCGACGACGAGTAAGAAACGTGTGTGATTTGTAGCTGCGGTCACAAATCTGAGGCCCATTTTTCTCTCCCTTGTGGACGTGGATGATCAGGTCGCAAACAGCAAATTGCGGAACCTCAAGTTTGTTCACTAGTCGAAGCACTGTAAAGCAACTTGTGGACATGCTGGGTGCTAACTAACATCTTCACAGATCATTAGGATGCTCCTTGCACACAGCTCCTGCATGCTCCTGCTGAACAGCAATCTTTTGTGATGCAAGAAGAATGGATTTTGTGTATATACATCAAAGCAGGAATGAAGTTGGTCTTGTATGATTTTTAGGCGTTTGTTACTCTTGATTCTCGAGGTGTTTTGGCATTCACACCAAGAACTCCTTTGTTAGCACAGAGTCAGCCAGTTCATCTGGCAATGTCTGATGTGGTCGCGAGGTTATTTCTGGAGTACGCTGCAGTGAGACAGCCCGGACTCTCCGCTAAGCGACAAACCAGACTGAGTTGATTCACCAAAGTTTGACGAGCGATGTCAAGACCTGAAGAAGGTCGTATGGGGTCGTATTAGGTCATATGGGGGTGGTTGGATTCCATTTCATTTGAGTGATGCATTCACGGATCGGACAGATCTGGAGTGGAATCAACATGCAGCTTTTCTCCAGGATGCGGACCCTGCCATCCTCGCACCTGGGCGAGCATCATGAGGATGATGTTAGGATCCTTAAACATGTACTGTACTTTGTAGTATTGGTTCTTTGTGATATATAAGCTTCATGTTTGGACAAGGGTTCCAATGACCGGGAGAAGACGCCTTCTATGAGCTTGATGATCATGTATGACAAGTGAACTTGGGGAGGTCTCTCTACAGGTCTTCTTGAAAGCAAGTTTGCCCTGTTCTTTTTGGCTGGGGGTCAAAGCCCGGACCCCTAATTCCTGGTAGTCAATTCTTATTTGACCTCCTTAGTAGTCTATTCTTTTCATGTTTGACGGTCAGCCAGGGTCCCCCGGGTTTTGACGCTGCGGCCTTCCGTTTTGCGAGGTATGATATGGACCCGAAGCTGAAGCGATGTGACCCAACTCGCTCCCAGGCCGACCATCAGTTGGATCGGCATTTGTCACCTTTAGAGCTGCAGTTACTAGGCCCACAGGAATTCCGGAAGGATTACAAGTTTGATGTTGTGCTTACGGTAGCAACAATAGGCGAAGATCTTTGTTCTGGGCATGAAGAGTGCCAACAGGATTTGGACCCATTCTTCTTTGGGCATGCAAGTGCCAACAGCATGAGAGCTTGTAGAGAGTGGGCTCAAGAATTTGCATCAAGGTCCCAGACGACCACAGATCTTCGACGTTTGTCAGCGAATCTCAGGCCAGAAGGATGAGCAATCTTTTGCAGGAGCGCAGGGGCTTTGCTTCCGAGGCAATCATGTTTCCGGGTTTGTAGAAGTAGTATAACACAGCATCAACTCGCCAGTACATCAACTCGCTAGTATATGAGCCACCGACGAAAAAGAAGGCTGCAATTCCCACACACCTGGCAACAAACACCTGCAACTGGCACAAGAAGCTAGTAGTAACAAGTGCCACGCTAGTAGTAGCAACAAGCAAGTAGTAACAAGTGCCACGCTAGTAGTAACAAGAAGCTAGTAGTAAC